GCGCATATTAAGTAATACTAAGAAAATATTGCTTCAACTGAAAACCATTATGAAATGTTGAGTGTAAAGGCTAAAAAAATGTAATCCTGGAAGTCGAAAGGGAGAAAACTGAAGAATGTGAAGGAGGAAGAATTGAAAGAGATGCACAAACAATAATTTAGCAGCATACCCACATTTATTGACCGTTTAATTGGAATGTAAATAGTGTTTTATTACCGGTAGAGATGCTGTTTCAAATGGCTGAATTTCAGACATATGATCACCAAAATTAACCTACATTCCACAAATATTCAGATGTGTCTATAAATACAAGCTTTAAATGTACAAACATGGGGGTTTTAATATAAAAACATCCAAATACATGTTGCAATCAGTTGTACCAAAAGGTTAAAAAAAGCAATATATTTTTTAAATTTCCAAAATGCCCCCGCCCATGCGGTTGAAATTCAACTCTCTTTGACCAAAACTCAATCTTATATAGTATAAGGAATCGCAAATTACTACCACGACTAACCACTGAGCTTTGTCTTAATGTCGATAAAAAGGGAATTAAATCTTTTTTTCGGATATTCTAACCCTACTTACAGTAAAAAAAATTTAAAATGAGGTATCAGAGTTGAGTCTGTACACAATGAGGTTATTTGGATATCAAGAATTTCAGAAAAAAAAGGTCAAATTTTATTTTACTTATATCATACACATAAATTTTAATTATTATTTTATGTCACAAGTATTGAATCCCAAAAAATTTTGAAACTCTCCTTCCCGCCCTCTAGGATAGGAGAGAGGCTCTAAAAACCAAAAAAGTACGAGCTACGACTAAACACTGATGATTTTCCGGGTCCTCTTTACAGCAGAAAAAGAGAAGGCTTGAAAGCCGAAAAGGGAAACACTGACAGGTGGAAAGCGGAAACAGCAAAAGGGAAATTCCTTGGATGGATGGAGGAAACCCGTCAAACTAGAGCAGGACAACGCGACCATAAGCAAAAGAATACAGAAGTAGTCGTAGGAGTAGTAGTCCGTCCTAGTATTTTTTTTATCGACATAATAATTTTTTTATTTTACTCGGAGAAAATTGAATCATCGTCGTCATCGAATCAAACAAATGCAAAATTGTGAAACATTTAAGAAAATCCATCAAGGAGTTGGTTGTAGCGGTCGTCCTAGGAGCTTAATACTGGTAATAATAATACTGCAGGACCAGTTGCTGGCTGAAGCCATTGGATATCCAACACCTGTAAATTCTGGCTGGCAAGCAATTGTACTCTCTCCTAATTGAAATTGACACCCCATCCTACACTCTTGCCACGCCACCCACCTGCTCGCACTATTCAGCTGGTCCCGATCCACCACTTTATTGATTTTCACAAAATAAATGGCTTTCCTAAAATGTCTTCTTTCTTTTCTTCTTTTTTTTTTTTTTTTTTTTTAAAAAAAACCTTTTAACTTAAGAAAAATGAGATTTAAGAATTGGGAGGAGGAAAGGGAATTTGAATATAGAACTTCTAATTCTTAAAATGTTAACACTAATTACTATTGGATAGAAAAATTAAAATGGTGAAGTTTAATTGCGTAACCGCTGTTCTTTTTGCCAAAAGTTTGATAGAAAATGAAATGCCACATGCTTTTAAAACCGCCAAGTGCAACGCATAATGATACCGAAAATGGAAGTGAAACTTTTGTTCTGACATTTTGCACCCTGCATCATCTTCAAAAATACTGCAGTGTTGTTATCACTTTATCTCCTTAACATTCAGTGTCATTATCAATTTTCTCCTTAATATTATTGTCTTTTAGTTATTTGATCCTCAAAATTAACGTGTCAAACTTAACGGAGTTCGTTTATTAAAGTGAAAAGACATGTTTAACTCTTAAAATTATTATCACTTTACCCCTATAAACTATAATTTCATTATCAATTTATCCCCTAAAATTATTTTTTAGACAATTTATCCCACCATTAAACCAACATAGTAAGTTAAAGAACTTAAAAAAAAAGTACCCTGCTATTTGTATAATAAAAATAATAATTTAAAGTGACTTTTCTACTTTTTAGTATTAAGAAAAAAAGTCAAAATATTAATCTCTTTCTTCTTAACAATCTTATTAATATTGAAAAAAAAAATAGAAAGATGGGAGGGGAAGAGGGAGAGGGAGGGAGAGAGAGAGAGAGCTCAATTTTTTTTTGAAAAAATATAAATAAGAAAGAATTAAATACTTCTATTATGTTAAAATTATTTCACTTTTTTGTTTACCACCAAATTCCAATCCCAATCCTGATAACCTTAAAGTAATATGTTAATATTAGACTTTTTTATTTTCTTTTTTAGCAAAATCTAATTTTTTGTCCCTTCTTCCCTATCTCTTTTTCTTTTTCTAGTATTAATTAATGTTAAAACTAATTTGAGAAAATCCTTTTTTTTATGTTTTTTGATCTTTTAAAGTGAAAGAAAAGAAAGAATAACCATTCCAACTTTTTATTTTTAATTATATGTAACAAAGGGTAAATACATTTAAAAAATTTTGATCATACTAGTTAGATTAGCGATGAGAAAAAATCATAGAAACTAATGTTAGGAATTTAAGCGACTGTATCATTACAATTTTAAGGGATAAAATGATAATAACATTATGTGATAATACTATAGAATAAAGGAATATTTTTATCTAAAATTTCTAACATATTGAGTTGAATTATTTATGTGGTGAAGTGACTAAAAAATAATTATAGAAGATAATATGATAATAGTGATATATAGTTGGGGGGTGGGTGTGATAATAACCCTTAGATATACAGCGAACAAGGAAATGACCAGCATGAACCGAACCAGAATAAACCCCCCGTGCCTTCCTCAATAAATCAATCAGCGGCATGATCATGATCGACATTTGATTTTGATAGTGCCATCTGCCTTGTACTATTACGTAACCGGATTCTTGAGTCTACCAAGAGCGGACACGCGGAATATCTTTAGGTAAGATTTCAGGCTTTTTAAGTCTTATGGTCTTGTGTCAGTTGTGTATACGATGTGCTTTCTTGCCAAAGCTGGAGGACACGTGTTGTGGAAGTAGGACGGTGGGAGAAAAGTATGTACGTAACCTGACCAGACCGCGACGACAGTTATGTCTCATTGATTCAGGGCTCTCTGTTCGGGTAATTTCAAACTCTTGAATCCTGGTAGTAAAAAGTTAGGTTAGCTTATAATCATACACCATGATGATGAACGTTCCAGGAAATGAGAGCTTTTCCATGATGGTAAACCAAGATTTTTTCTTTTTAAAAAAATAAAAAAAATAAAATCAAGTTTGGTCACTTTCAACTCCCATCATCATTTCATTACGGTTTAAAATATACCCCGAGATCATTAGTTATTTATAAAAAATATTTAGAGATATTTTATGTGGTGTGAAATTCGAAGACACTTCACCAACCCCAAACCAATATGTATTTGACGTTAAAGATGGTAGGTAGTATGCAAGCGAGCAAGGGACGAGGGGCCTGGACGGTTGTCAGACCCAGGCAGTTCATGGCCTGGATGAGGCCTCAAAAATTTGTGCGGGTTAAATCACGTCTTGTAACTTAATTTTCACGCCGTATGGGACTCACAAAAATATTGTTATAGTGTTACTCGCTGTTGTTCTATTGTTATACCTTGTACAGATGATGTAATGATGTAACACCTTCCGGAGCGGTTGTCAGAACAACCGCTCCAGCCCCGCGTCCGGGAGCAAGGCAAGGAGTGGTCTGAGTCTGACTGATCAATGATGATACGGTGGTGGTTCAGAGATTTGATAACTCCTGCATGCATGCTCCAACTTCAACCCTTGCCCGTCCGTGTCTGCATGAATCACTTTGCTTGTCATCTTGAAACGCAAACTCTCGTTGCCTGATATTGCCACGTCTCGAACAAAAAGGGTGGGCGACGTTTTTGCCATTTTTCATTATGGTCTTCCCAAAGATTTTGCCATTTTCTTGGTTTTGATGGTAGAAAGAAAGAAATGAGAACCGTAGAATTGAAAGTGACAGAAAGGTCGGGAGCGAAGATTTGATCACTATAATAAGTTGTGACGTTTTATTATTCTTGAACGAGAAATATTCCAAGTTAGGGCGGTTACGCATCACTTTGAATTAAATTGCTGAAACATGTGATTATATAGTAGTTTTGAAGTTGCAAAACTCGTCCCAAGTATTAAAAAAAAAAAGTCGTTTTGTGAACCCAGATTTTATTTTTTAGGGAAATTGCCACCGCACCAGTTTTTAACTCTCAAGTTTTTGACCGGTTGGGAGTGGGGTTGGTGGCCTATAACTTGTAGCAGCCATCAAATGATGGAAACACCTACTATTGCTATACTTGGCGTTATTAGGAGGAGGAGGAGGAGGAGTTCACCTTCAATAAACAAGTTCGCGGATCCCACTACTCGTTGGAATTATGCATAACAAGAGAAATACAGAGGGCAATTAACATCCATGACCACGCGATGAAGCTTGGACGAAACTACGCCGTAGTTAATGCTCCCTTAAGGCCAGACCCTTTGGTAGGAATGAGAAAGAAGATTGAGCCCCCTTCTGTCAATCCTAACGACAATTTCCTTTTTTTTTTTTTTTTTTTTTTGTTGATATGATAGCTTCATACACTCTGAGAAAGGGAGGATCAGATAAGGTCCTGGGATAACTCGAAGAGAACTGAATCACCATCGGACCAGACGGGTGCACCACGCACCTGATTGAATTTTTTAAGTAAGGCCACATTTAATTGTGGTAAATTGGTGGGAGGAAAGGTTTCACCTCACCAAACCTTAATGCATTGGTGGTGACCACCAGCCCAAAGGCTGATGGTTCTAGAGGCAATTTTGTCAATGACAAAGTTTGAATCCATGGCACTTCTATCTATATCTAGATTGCAAAAATCTGCAAAATGTTCATCAATCTCATATCCTATTCGGTCGATAGATTTTGTATTTGAGCTGGGCTATCAATTTAAAAAAAGAAAAAGAAAAAGAGAAGAAGCAGGAATTATGTTATCTGACCAATAAGGTCACAAGGCTGTTCACAGCAGTCTCGGCTACCTAGCAATATGCCTATCACAAATCTAATTGTGCATGATAAACAAGTTTAGCAGTTAATCTGTTATTTGGAATGGCAGTGAATAAGCAAAAAGAGCATGTTAATGTCTAAACCAAGAGTCCGTATTTCGAGTGCATGACTATTGTCTAAACTCATCCAACAAATACAGCTACTAAAAAGGAAGAACGATCCAGAGCGAATCCATGGTAGTTCCAACATAGATGTGAGATGGCAATATGTACTGATTACCCTATAACGACAAACAAGAAAAGTGGCAAGTTGCTAGTACGGACGAGGGCAGAAGCCATTCACGGACATCCCTCCATCGACGCATATTATCTGGCCAGTAATATTCGATGATGCTGGTAGACAGAGGAATGCAACAAGAGATGAGACCTCAGCCGGATCTCCAAGACGGTGGAGTGGAGTTCGATCATATACTTCTTCAAGATATTCTCTGTTACTCAACACCTGTAATAGAAGAGGGAACATAACTGCTGTCATAATTATACTCCTATATGCAGTTTGCATATTGGAATTGACATATATCCTTCCTAAAACTGCATGTGCTTATTTTATACAAGGTGCTGCCTGAAAAGTCTACCTTAGTGCAACTATGCAGACGCTGAAGAACAAAGGACCCAAAGAATGCTCCAAAGCTTTCAGCTCAAACCCACCCCACAATCTGCCTGGTTGAACGAGGAGGGGGTAAGTAAGGCGGGCGAACAATTATTTGTTCTTTGGGTTGTTACTTTTATGCTACTCTTACACTTTTCTTTCCCTTAAAACGTCTACTGGCATACCCAGCAGACACAGAAGGATTGGCAAATTTGACTGTACAAGCATTTAAATTTGGTCACACATTGCTACAGTCGTCGAGAAAATTTCAACGGAGCAAAAATTGAGAAAAATATTGACATTTTAGCAGAGTTTCAGATTCACAGAAGACCTATCTCACTGAGACAAAAAGATCCAAATGTGAACTTTTTACTGGAAATAGTTGATCATATTACCCAAGAGACAAAGCAAAAGATAATTACTTGCTCCACCATTGAGGTCTTGATGTACCACAGTGCGACTGCATTGCTCCTGATGTTGTCATTTGCCCACTCACATGCTAAACTTCTTGTCAGTTGATTAATTGCTCCTGCAAGTCACAGACCAAAAAAGAACATCATATTGCTCCTTTTCATAGTCATGGTCAGCATGGAAAGGTAAAAGGCCTTTGTTTTAACAAAGAGTACCTTTGGTGGCTCCTTGAACAGACATGGACTTCAAGGACACAAAACCAGAGACAGAAGATGTAAACACAACACTTCCTGATCCTGATGCTTTCAGAAGGGGATATGCCAGTTGGCACCAGTGGAAAACAGATTCAAAATTCGTTGTGACCAGAGCAGAGAATTCTACTGCCGTGATATCAACAATAGGTTTTCGGATATTGGTGCCAACATTATTTACCTACTGATCCAGAAAAGTAGCAAATGAACTTGTTAATCATACAAGTGATTGAAGGTAAAACGTTGAAGTCCATTAATTGCTACAACTAGATAACATCAGAGACCTTCAAATGATGCTAGTGGACAGAACATAGGGATAAAATGGAAACTTAAAACCAAACACATGCAGTCCATTGGGAACGGCCATACATACTTTCTTCATGGAAATTAATATTTAAATCGATGGCTTTTTTGAGGGAGGGCAGAAGCAAATCTAACCATGTACCTTCTTTGTGAAAAGGAGAATACAAAAAAAAACATCTAGATTTTTAGAATTTAATTCTCAACAGTAGTAGAAAGATTGACAATGTGAATCACAGGATGAAAATAGATTGTGTCTAACTAGATAAGTGCTGTTGGAACTTCAGATGATAAATGCATACCTAATAGACTCAGAAGATTGTTTTATAAGGCTGCAACAAGACTAGCAATGTTTACATATATTAGGAAATCAAAACATTTGCAAAGTAACAAGAAAAGAGAAGCAGAAAATAATGTAAACCATCGCTGAGATGGATGTTTGGGAAAAGGAAAGATACATGGAAATGATTTCACATATGGCAAAGAGTATCTATCAAGATAAGTTGAAGCAAAAGCTATAGGAGTACCTTAATGAAATTTTGGGTCTTGAGATTGTTAAACATATTGTTCTAGCATTGTTATGTTCAATTCAGTATTTATAGTGACATTTCTGCCTCCAACCGATCAAAGATCTCCAGTTGAAGTGGTAACCAGATTCCTACATGCCCTACTCTCCTCATCAACTCAATATGTCATTTTGCATGCATGCTTCAACACCCTCTACAATCATAAATTTCTGATCGCTCAACAACGATTACACTACCAATTAGTTCTTCAATGAAACTCTCACTTTAAACCAAATGCTATTTCTAGGCATTAATACATAGGAGAAAAGTATCAAAGCAAATTCTTTTGAGGGGCATTCAGATCGAAGGGAAGCTATAATCTCAAAACTGACACGCCCAAAAATAACCTCAGGTTACTTTTCCAGAACTAATTAAAGCAGAGAATATCTAGGCGAATCATGAACGTTAATTATTAATGGATCCTGTACCAATTCCTTCAATAAAACAAGGGTTAATATTCAAGGTCACATAATCAACTGCCTAGTTCCACACAATTTGACTCGAGTCATCAGAATCCACTTAAAAATCTCAGTCACCTTGATCAATTATCACCAAAAGTTGTATCTAATTACACATGAAATACATATGCATTATTTATTCTCAATCTCATTCCTTTGTGATGCTGCTTTCAACGGAAGAATTTTTAGAGTACGTTCAAATACCTTATAAACATAATTAAGCATATTTTTTAAAAAAATTAAGGATATTGATTAGTACATTACCTTTGGTAGAAATGTCGCTTTATGAAATGTTTAAGAAATTTAAACATTAATATTTCATGTTTAAGAATGCAACATCAAATGTGTTCTATATCCATCACACCAACGATACAGGTGAACGAATATACTGCTCTACACTTGCTTAAATCTGCAGATATCTCAACTCATGAGTATGCTTCAATTGTCTCTGATTGCATGTTCCTGATCTCTGCTCTGCCGAAAGTCATACTTAGACATGCTTATCGAGAAGCAAACCAGTGTGCTGACAGATTGACGAAACTGGGTGCTCAACAAGACGTGAATTTTGTATGCTATGATAGTATTCATTATGCTTTGAGAAATTTAGTAGATGCAGGTCTTAAGGGAATTTGCTTCCCTCATTTTGTACCTATAACTTAAGTTTGTTCAATATATAGTCTCTTTTATTACCAAAAAAAAAAAAGAATATAAACTCTATTCTTTCAATCCCAAATTGCTCGTCGCATTTCGAGATTCTAATTTTTAAAAATAGTGAATTGAGAGCCATTTTAGTGATTTTGTTTTAAAAATTATTCTCAAAGATTCAAATGTGTTCTTTTTTGTTTTGCTTTTTTGACAAAATTGGCCGGCCGGTAGCCATTTGTTAGGTTGATAAACTGTTTGAAAAAGTCATTTTTAGTTTGCATTGGATCATTTCGGCGCCGGTTAACGAAATAGGTCGGACTCCGGAGTCCCCGTTTTTGGTTGTAGCCGCCGGGGAAGAAGACTCTTATCAAATTGTGTTACCTCTGTGTTTTATACTACTACCACTAACCACTGCTATTCAAGACAAAGTTTAACAACGTGTCCGTTCCTTGCTTACACGACAAATTTTACCAAGTTGATTTCGATATATTTTATGTAGGAGAAGAAATAGCTAAATATTACTCCGTTTGGATTAGCTTTTTTTAGGGTGTTTTTGAAAAATTTTACTGTAACAGTGTATATTAAAAAAAATTTTTATAAATTTTTTTTGAAATATTTGATATATTGTACGGATGAGATGTTTTTTTTGAGCTATTACTGTAATATTGTATTTGAAAATTTTATTTTTGAAAAAATGGTCAATCCAAACGGAGCAATTTAGTGATTAAAAATTGATACAAAGTGAAAAAACGAATTCCATCAACGTTCGAGTTAGTCAATTACTACAACTTCTAAGTGTACAAGCTAAAACCAATTCAGGTATTAGTAAACGAAGCAATATGCAGTTAGTTACACATGCACAGACAAAAGGAATGGTGAGTTTGGATACTGCTAATAAATAACTCAAAGATTAGTCAAATTGACAAGAAATACTTCTATCACGTCAAAACAAAAAAGAAAAGAAAAAAAGAGAGAGTGACTAAATAGTTTCCACACGTATTAATTTAATTTGTGCTGTCTCGTCATGCAAAAATATATTTTAGGACTAAAAGGATTTGTCTCATTTCCACCGTTAATTAACAGCTCACTTTCGCTATTAAGTTTAGGCACTTGGAGGCCTCTGTTAGGGTTGTGTCAAAGCAATTTTCCCCGTTTTCCTTTTCTCATAGACATTACTAGAGGGGGAATATCTGCGCATCGCACGGGTGGTTAAAGAAAATTTTTTAGGTGCTTGTGGTGAGCAAATAAATGAAAATAAACATAAGATAATAGCGCATATTAAGTAATACTAAGAAAATATTGCTTCAACTGAAAACCATTATGAAATGTTGAGTGTAAAGGCTAAAAAAATGTAATCCTGGAAGTCGAAAGGGAGAAAACTGAAGAATGTGAAGGAGGAAGAATTGAAAGAGATGCACAAACAATAATTTAGCAGCATACCCACATTTATTGACCGTTTAATTGGAATGTAAATAGTGTTTTATTACCGGTAGAGATGCTGTTTCAAATGGCTGAATTTCAGACATATGATCACCAAAATTAACCTACATTCCACAAATATTCAGATGTGTCTATAAATACAAGCTTTAAATGTACAAACATGGGGGTTTTAATATAAAAACATCCAAATACATGTTGCAATCAGTTGTACCAAAAGGTTAAAAAAAGCAATATATTTTTTAAATTTCCAAAATGCCCCCGCCCATGCGGTTGAAATTCAACTCTCTTTGACCAAAACTCAATCTTATATAGTATAAGGAATCGCAAATTACTACCACGACTAACCACTGAGCTTTGTCTTAATGTCGATAAAAAGGGAATTAAATCTTTTTTTCGGATATTCTAACCCTACTTACAGTAAAAAAAATTTAAAATGAGGTATCAGAGTTGAGTCTGTACACAATGAGGTTATTTGGATATCAAGAATTTCAGAAAAAAAAGGTCAAATTTTATTTTACTTATATCATACACATAAATTTTAATTATTATTTTATGTCACAAGTATTGAATCCCAAAAAATTTTGAAACTCTCCTTCCCGCCCTCTAGGATAGGAGAGAGGCTCTAAAAACCAAAAAAGTACGAGCTACGACTAAACACTGATGATTTTCCGGGTCCTCTTTACAGCAGAAAAAGAGAAGGCTTGAAAGCCGAAAAGGGAAACACTGACAGGTGGAAAGCGGAAACAGCAAAAGGGAAATTCCTTGGATGGATGGAGGAGGAAACCCGTCAAACTAGAGCAGGACAACACGCGACCCATCAAAGCAAGCAAAAGAATACAGAAGTAGTCGTAGGAGTAGTAGTCCGTCCTAGTATTTTTTTTTATCGACATAATAACTTTTTTTATTTTACTCGGAGAAAATTGAATCATCGTCGTCATCGAATCAAACAAATGCAAAATTGTGAAACATTTAAGAAAATCCATCAAGGAGTTGGTTGTAGCGGTCGTCCTAGGAGCTTAATACTGGTAATAATAATACTGCAGGACCAGTTGCTGGCTGAAGCCATTGGATATCCAACACCTGTAAATTCTGGCTGGCAAGCAATTGTACTCTCTCCTAATTGAAATTGACACCCCATCCTACACTCTTGCCACGCCACCCACCTGCTCGCACTATTCAGCTGGTCCCGATCCACCACTTTATTGATTTTCACAAAATAAATGGCTTTCCTAAAATGTCTTCTTTCTTTTCTTCTTTTTTTTTTTTTTTTTTTTAAAAAAAACCTTTTAACTTAAGAAAAATGAGATTTAAGAATTGGGAGGAGGAAAGGGAATTTGAATATAGAACTTCTAATTCTTAAAATGTTAACACTAATTACTATTGGATAGAAAAATTAAAATGGTGAAGTCTTAATTGCGTAACCGCTGTTCTTTTTGCCAAAAGTTTGATAGAAAATGAAATGCCACATGCTTTTAAAACCGCCAAGTGCAACGCATAATGATACCGAAAATGGAAGTGAAACTTTTGTTCTGACATTTTGCACCCTGCATCATCTTCAAAAATACTGCAGTGTTGTTATCACTTTATCTCCTTAACATTCAGTGTCATTATCAATTTTCTCCTTAATATTATTGTCTTTTAGTTATTTGATCCTCAAAATTAACGTGTCAAACTTAACGGAGTTCGTTTATTAAAGTGAAAAGACATGTTTAACTCTTAAAATTATTATCACTTTACCCCTATAAACTATAATTTCATTATCAATTTATCCCCTAAAATTATTTTTTAGACAATTTATCCCACCATTAAACCAACATAGTAAGTTAAAGAACTTAAAAAAAAAAGTACCCTGCTATTTGTATAATAAAAATAATAATTTAAAGTGACTTTTCTACTTTTTAGTATTAAGAAAAAAAGTCAAAATATTAATCTCTTTCTTCTTAACAATCTTATTAATATTGAAAAAAAAAATAGAAAGATGGGAGGGGAAGAGGGAGAGGGAGGGAGAGAGAGAGAGAGCTCAATTTTTTTTTGAAAAAATATAAATAAGAAAGAATTAAATACTTCTATTATGTTAAAATTATTTCACTTTTTTGTTTACCACCAAATTCCAATCCCAATCCTGATAACCTTAAAGTAATATGTTAATATTAGACTTTTTTATTTTCTTTTTTAGCAAAATCTAATTTTTTGTCCCCTTCTTCCCTATCTCTTTTTCTTTTTCTAGTATTAATAAATGTTAAAACTAATTTGAGAAAATCCTTTTTTTTTATGTTTTTTGATCTTTTAAAGTGAAAGAAAAGAAAGAATAACCATTCCAACTTTTTATTTTTAATTATATGTAACAAAGGGTAAATACATTTAAAAAATTTTGATCATACTAGTTAGATTAGCGATGAGAAAAAATCATAGAAACTAATGTTAGGAATTTAAGCGACTGTATCATTACAATTTTAAGGGATAAAATGATAATAACATTATGTGATAATACTATAGAATAAAGGAATATTTTTATCTAAAATTTCTAACATATTGAGTTGAATTATTTATGTGGTGAAGTGACTAAAAAATAATTATAGAAGATAATATGATAATAGTGATATATAGTTGGGGGGTGGGTGTGATAATAACCCTTAGATATACAGCGAACAAGGAAATGACCAGCATGAACCGAACCAGAATAAACCCCCCGTGCCTTCCTCAATAAATCAATCAGCGGCATGATCATGATCGACATTTGATTTTGATAGTGCCATCTGCCTTGTACTATTACGTAACCGGATTCTTGAGTCTACCAAGAGCGGACACGCGGAATATCTTTAGGTAAGATTTCAGGCTTTTTAAGTCTTATGGTCTTGTGTCAGTTGTGTATACGATGTGCTTTCTTGCCAAAGCTGGAGGACACGTGTTGTGGAAGTAGGACGGTGGGAGAAAAGTATGTACGTAACCTGACCAGACCGCGACGACAGTTATGTCTCATTGATTCAGGGCTCTCTGTTCGGGTAATTTCAAACTCTTGAATCCTGGTAGTAAAAAGTTAGGTTAGCTTATAATCATACACCATGATGATGAACGTTCCAGGAAATGAGAGCTTTTCCATGATGGTAAACCAAGATTTTTTCTTTTTAAAAAAATAAAAAAAATAAAATCAAGTTTGGTCACTTTCAACTCCCATCATCATTTCATTACGGTTTAAAATATACCCCGAGATCATTAGTTATTTATAAAAAATATTTAGAGATATTTTATGTGGTGTGAAATTCGAAGACACTTCACCAACCCCAAACCAATATGTATTTGACGTTAAAGATGGTAGGTAGTATGCAAGCGAGCAAGGGACGAGGGGCCTGGACGGTTGTCAGACCCAGGCAGTTCATGGCCTGGATGAGGCCTCAAAAATTTGTGCGGGTTAAATCACGTCTTGTAACTTAATTTTCACGCCGTATGGGACTCACAAAAATATTGTTATAGTGTTACTCGCTGTTGTTCTATTGTTATACCTTGTACAGATGATGTAATGATGTAACACCTTCCGGAGCGGTTGTCAGAACAACCGCTCCAGCCCCGCGTCCGGGAGCAAGGCAAGGAGTGGTCTGAGTCTGACTGATCAATGATGATACGGTGGTGGTTCAGAGATTTGATAACTCCTGCATGCATGCTCCAACTTCAACCCTTGCCCGTCCGTGTCTGCATGAATCACTTTGCTTGTCATCTTGAAACGCAAACTCTCGTTGCCTGATATTGCCACGTCTCGAACAAAAAGGGTGGGCGACGTTTTTGCCATTTTTCATTATGGTCTTCCCAAAGATTTTGCCATTTTCTTGGTTTTGATGGTAGAAAGAAAGAAATGAGAACCGTAGAATTGAAAGTGACAGAAAGGTCGGGAGCGAAGATTTGATCACTATAATAAGTTGTGACGTTTTATTATTCTTGAACGAGAAATATTCCAAGTTAGGGCGGTTACGCATCACTTTGAATTAAATTGCTGAAACATGTGATTATATAGTAGTTTTGAAGTTGCAAAACTCGTCCCAAGTATTAAAAAAAAAAAAGTCGTTTTGTGAACCCAGATTTTATTTTTTAGGGAAATTGCCACCGCACCAGTTTTTAACTCTCAAGTTTTTGACCGGTTGGGAGTGGGGTTGGTGGCCTATAACTTGTAGCAGCCATCAAATGATGGAAACACCTACTATTGCTATACTTGGCGTTATTAGGAGGAGGAGGAGGAGGAGTTCACCTTCAATAAACAAGTTCGCGGATCCCACTACTCGTTGGAATTATGCATAACAAGAGAAATACAGAGGGCAATTAACATCCATGACCACGCGATGAAGCTTGGACGAAACTACGCCGTAGTTAATGCTCCCTTAAGGCCAGACCCTTTGGTAGGAATGAGAAAGAAGATTGAGCCCCCTTCTGTCAATCCTAACGACAATTTCCTTTTTTTTTTTTTTTTTTTTTGTTGATATGATAGCTTCATACACTCTGAGAAAGGGAGGATCAGATAAGGTCCTGGGATAACTCGAAGAGAACTGAATCACCATCGGACCAGACGGGTGCACCACGCACCTGATTGAATTTTTTAAGTAAGGCCACATTTAATTGTGGTAAATTGGTGGGAGGAAAGGTTTCACCTCACCAAACCTTAATGCATTGGTGGTGACCACCAGCCCAAAGGCTGATGGTTCTAGAGGCAATTTTGTCAATGACAAAGTTTGAATCCATGGCACTTCTATCTATATCTAGATTGCAAAAATCTGCAAAATGTTCATCAATCTCATATCCTATTCGGTCGATAGATTTTGTATTTGAGCTGGGCTATCAATTTAAAAAAAGAAAAAGAAAAAGAGAAGAAGCAGGAATTATGTTATCTGACCAATAAGGTCACAAGGCTGTTCACAGCAGTCTCGGCTACCTAGCAATATGCCTATCACAAATCTAATTGTGCATGATAAACAAGTTTAGCAGTTAATCTGTTATTTGGAATGGCAGTGAATAAGCAAAAAGAGCATGTTAATGTCTAAACCAAGAGTCCGTATTTCGAGTGCATGACTATTGTCTAAACTCATCCAACAAATACAGCTACTAAAAAGGAAGAACGATCCAGAGCGAATCCATGGTAGTTCCAACATAGATGTGAGATGGCAATATGTACTGATTACCCTATAACGACAAACAAGAAAAGTGGCAAGTTGCTAGTACGGACGAGGGCAGAAGCCATTCACGGACATCCCTCCATCGACGCATATTATCTGGCCAGTAATATTCGATGATGCTGGTAGACAGAGGAATGCAACAAGAGATGAGACCTCAGCCGGATCTCCAAGACGGTGGAGTGGAGTTCGATCATATACTTCTTCAAGATATTCTCTGTTACTCAACACCTGTAATAGAAGAGGGAACATAACTGCTGTCATAATTATACTCCTATATGCAGTTTGCATATTGGAATTGACATATATCCTTCCTAAAACTGCATGTGCTTATTTTATACAAGGTGCTGCCTGAAAAGTCTACCTTAGTGCAACTATGCAGACGCTGAAGAACAAAGGACCCAAAGAATGCTCCAAAGCTTTCAGCTCAAACCCACCCCACAATCTGCCTGGTTGAACGAGGAGGGGGTAAGTAAGGCGGGCGAACAATTATTTGTTCTTTGGGTTGTTACTTTTATGCTACTCTTACACTTTTCTTTCCCTTAAAACGTCTACTGGCATACCCAGCAGACACAGAAGGATTGGCAAATTTGACTGTACAAGCATTTAAATTTGGTCACACATTGCTACAGTCGTCGAGAAAATTTCAACGGAGCAAAAATTGAGAAAAATATTGACATTTTAGCAGAGTTTCAGATTCACAGAAGACCTATCTCACTGAGACAAAAAGATCCAAATGTGAACTTTTTACTGGAAATAGTTGATCATATTACCCAAGAGACAAAGCAAAAGATAATTACTTGCTCCACCATTGAGGTCTTGATGTACCACAGTGCGACTGCATTGCTCCTGATGTTGTCATTTGCCCACTCACATGCTAAACTTCTTGTCAGTTGATTAATTGCTCCTGCAAGTCACAGACCAAAAAAGAACATCATATTGCTCCTTTTCATAGTCATGGTCAGCATGGAAAGGTAAAAGGCCTTTGTTTTAACAAAGAGTACCTTTGGTGGCTCCTTGAACAGACATGGACTTCAAGGACACAAAACCAGAGACAGAAGATGTAAACACAACACTTCCTGATCCTGATGCTTTCAGAAGGGGATATGCCAGTTGGCACCAGTGGAAAACAGATTCAAAATTCGTTGTGACCAGAGCAGAGAATTCTACTGCCGTGATATCAACAATAGGTTTTCGGATATTGGTGCCAACATTATTTACCTACTGATCCAGAAAAGTAGCAAATGAACTTGTTAATCATACAAGTGATTGAAGGTAAAACGTTGAAGTCCATTAATTGCTACAACTAGATAACATCAGAGACCTTCAAATGATGCTAGTGGACAGAACATAGGGATAAAATGGAAACTTAAAACCAAACACATGCAGTCCATTGGGAACGGCCATACATACTTTCTTCATGGAAATTAATATTTAAATCGATGGCTTTTTTGAGGGAGGGCAGAAGCAAATCTAACCATGTACCTTCTTTGTGAAAAGGAGAATACAAAAAAAAACATCTAGATTTTTAGAATTTAATTCTCAACAGTAGTAGAAAGATTGACAATGTGAATCACAGGATGAAAATAGATTGTGTCTAACTAGATAAGTGCTGTTGGAACTTCAGATGATAAATGCATACCTAATAGACTCAGAAGATTGTTTTATAAGGCTGCAACAAGACTAGCAATGTTTACATATATTAGGAAATCAAAACATTTGCAAAGTAACAAGAAAAGAGAAGCAGAAAATAATGTAAACCATCGCTGAGATGGATGTTTGGGAAAAGGAAAGATACATGGAAATGATTTCACATATGGCAAAGAGTATCTATCAAGATAAGTTGAAGCAAAAGCTATAGGAGTACCTTAATGAAATTTTGGGTCTTGAGATTGTTAAACATATTGTTCTAGCATTGTTATGTTCAATTCAGTATTTATAGTGACATTTCTGCCTCCAACCGATCAAAGATCTCCAGTTGAAGTGGTAACCAGATTCCTACATGCCCTACTCTCCTCATCAACTCAATATGTCATTTTGCATGCATGCTTCAACACCCTCTACAATCATAAATTTCTGATCGCTCAACAACGATTACACTACCAATTAGTTCTTCAATGAAACTCTCACTTTAAACCAAATGCTATTTCTAGGCATTAATACATAGGAGAAAAGTATCAAAGCAAATTCTTTTGAGGGGCATTCAGATCGAAGGGAAGCTATAATCTCAAAACTGACACGCCCAAAAATAACCTCAGGTTACTTTTCCAGAACTAATTAAAGCAGAGAATATCTAGGCGAATCATGAACGTTAATTATTAATGGATCCTGTACCAATTCCTTCAATAAAACAAGGGTTAATATTCAAGGTCACATAATCAACTGCCTAGTTCCACACAATTTGACTCGAGTCATCAGAATCCACTTAAAAATCTCAGTCACCTTGATCAATTATCACCAAAAGTTGTATCTAATTACACATGAAATACATATGCATTATTTATTCTCAATGTATTTCCAGAATTTTACATTCTTGCAACAAAATGCTGTACAATGGGAAAACGCTTACAAGAATGTTGAGCTTCGCATTGAACAAGGACGAAACAGTATCCCCTAACCTCTGACGATCGGCTCTAGATGACACATCGCAAACTGACCCAGTGACCTGAAAAGACTCCTCACCATCTTTCCATTTCTTCAAACAGCTGCAGAGCTCAGCGTCGTTGCAGGCACACGTATGCACGGTGGCTCCAAGCCCAGCCAATTCCTCCACAATAGCATGCCTTGCTACACAATATAGACACAACCCACATCTCAAAATCAAATCTTTCAAACAAATTCGACAAACTAAATACTAAAAGTACGATGAGACAAGTTTATATATGAAGCTGACCCGATGCCCCTGGTGCCACCGGTGACTAGAGCAGTCATGCCCCCAAGGGACCATCTGGAGGCCCTGCTTGATGGAGGCAGAGTAGCGCTGGATGCTGTGAGTCCAAGACATAAGCAATTGGCGACTGAGGTCTTTGTACCTGAAGGAGTTGAACAATGTAACGTTAGTTTTGGACGTCGAAGGTGGAGAGGATGGGTTTTTAGCGGTGGAGACGCTGCTTGGCACGGTTGTCGGACTAGTAGACTAGTAGTGTACATTTTTCCAGTTCTCTAATTGAGATTTACTGTAAGATCTGTGAATACAGTAATAAAAATGCGATTAACATGTCTGCACAGTCACATTTTAACCGGAAAAATCGCCTATTTGGTCCCTAAACTTTTTCACTTACACCAATTTAGTCCTTCATGGTTTTTTTCACCAATTTAATCCTCAAACAATTTTATCGAGTTCAATGTAGGACTTATTAGGCGGCGCCACCGCATTTTATGTATTTTTCACGGCGGACCAAGGGTATTATAATTGGAATGACAGGTATAATTGTCTAATTATAGGGATTAGAATAGCAGCTTTGTCACGATAAGCAAAAGAAACCTCTGGAAATCAACAGAGGAGCTAAGGGCTTCACAATCAGATCAATCTGTTGGAGTTTGAATTGGAATCTAAAATTTGTTAAAATCCATCTCTCACTTCTTTACATTAAAAGAACTCATGTTGTAGTTGCATTGTTGATTATTCTGTTGTTTAACTCATGATGGGTGTCCTGTGGGCAGAGTGGTTGTGTTTGACTAATCATGCTGACCTTGTTGGAAGTTGAGTAAGCAGATTGGCCACCGTCGTTTGCTTCCGCCACCACCCTGAAACACAAACAGTCACACACTACAAAGTATTTCAATGGCAGCATCATTTGAAGACAACTCAACGGGTCAACCCAAAGAAGATGCCCTCAAATCCACAACTCCTGCCCGCACCGAACCTGACGAAGACGACGACAACGACGACGACATCCAGGAAGAGGACGACGATGAGAAAGAAGAAGAAGAGGACGACGATGAAGATGAACAACCACCTCTTACTCGGCAGGCCCGAATGCAGTCGGACCGGGCCAAAATCTTTCTCCGCTTATCAACTGAGCGAGTCCCAGTACAAGTCCATGATGTATTGATCAAAGGAAACGCGAAGACTAAAGATTCTCTAATCGAAGCCGAAGTGGAAGCTCTGAAAACTGCCACCACGGTTTAGGAGTTGCTTCAGGCCACTGGTATTGTGAATGCGAGGCTTCAACGCCTTGAGATTTGGCTGAACTCTGCTGTAATATTGTAGTTTGTATGGGTTTTGGGATTGGAATAAGGGTTTTCAAAATGTGTTGTTGAGATGCATAGGAAAAAATGAATTCATTATGGGTGTAGTTAAACGTTATGGAGCTGTGGCAGTACTTTTTGTAAATATAATTTGGCATGGTATTTCAGGAGGAGAAAAGGTTTGTTGATCAAATTGTGAAACCCTTAGCTCCTCTGTCGATTTCATAGGTTTCTTTTTGCTTATCGTGACAGAGCTGCTATTCTAATCCCTATAATTAGACAATTATACCTGTCATTCCAATTATACCCTTGGTCCGCCGTGGAAAATACATAAAATGCGGTGGCGCCGCCCAATAAATCCTACATTGAACTCGATAAAATTGTTTGAGAATTAAATTGGTGAAAAAAATCGTGAAGGACTAAATTGGTTTAAGTGAAAAAATTTAGGGACCAAATTGGCGATTTTCCCCATTTTAACTCTTAGTTCTTTAGATGAAGCAAATAATCACTCCTACGGATGGGCAGGCCATTTACTTATTGACCACAAAAGATTTTTACATAGTAATAAAAATGCGAATATGGATGTAGTCAGATCTGGACCTAACACCAAACAATTTGTGAGACCCAAAACCAGTTGATTGTGGGCTGCCTTCGAGCTTAGGAAGTTAGGATGCCGAAATAGATGCACTGGAACAGTAACTTTGGAGACCAAAGCTAGTATTAACCCTGAATATGATTAATTAGCTTTAATCACTCTGAGTTCAAACATTTCTAAGATTCTTCTCTTTTTATTATTGTTAATTTTCTTTGTTCTCAAAGGGTGAGCTACTCTGGATTAATTTGATCACTTTTCCACCGATCCCTATTAAACCTTTGAAGATTTAGAGGGGAGCTACCTGCCATCTTGAAATGATCTAACACTGCCACAAATTTTGGACCTCCTAATTACTGCCCCTCTGATTTTTTTTTTGGCATCAAGGTACATATATCTAGCGCTAATTAGTTACAAACAGTCCCTAAATTTGAAAAATAGAAAAGAAAAAGAAAGAGAATAAAAAAAAATTCAACAACATGTATTGAGAACATATTTTCCTAAAGTCTTTGACGTACTGAACTAGTTACTCTCTTACAGTTAGCTAATACTATGTGAATCACTGAGCTTTGGCTTGGCCACCAAAGAGGAGGACCTAAGTCTCTTCTTTTGGCTTGTAGGTCGAGGATTTAAATTTTACCTGCAATGAAAAAATTTAAAAAAATGGTGTGAGAGCATCCATTTCAGTTGACAACTTTGTAAGCAGGGAAGCATGGTACTTGCTGAGTTGTGTCGTGTGACCTTGACCATCCAACAGAAAATTCCAAATTCCAATTTTCACCACTTTTTGTGGTATTTCTTCTGTTTTAATCTACATACTCTCGTGTATATATGATGGTCAGTGAAGAAGCGCTGAACTTCCCCGGACCGAACTGACCTGATGAGCTCGGCGTGCCGATGAGGAGAGCGTGTCCCAAGCCTGCAAAACCAACAAGGGGGTGATCTGACAGGGGAGCCCCGAGGTCGTCCCCGCGGGCACTCCGACGATCAAGTTAGTTTTACGGTGAGTGGAATTCACGGAAAGTAACACAGTCGGGAGTAATTGGCGTATAGTGAGCGTACCTTATGCAGTTGATGTGTGTTACCATTTATACCTGTTTGGGAGTCCGACCTCCGTACGTTTCGGGACCTGCCCAGAATAGTCTCAATCCCGCTCTGAGGGGGATCCTCCCCGCCCTCTACGGGATCGTTCCCTGGAGCTCCTCGGAGCCCTAGCAGCGGAGGGCCGCGGGACGGTTCCCATGGGCCCGGGGTCTAAGCCCAACTCAGGCCTCCCTGGGCTGCCACGTGTATAGGCCCAGGACGGGGCCTCTGCACTAGCCCCCTAGATTAGGTGGGGCTTCCGGGCAGACCTAATCTACACCCCTGCCACGTGGGAGCCCAGCGTCGCACTGCTCTGCCGCAGTCACCTCCGGTACAGTGCTGTCATTGGAAAGCTGCGCCCCTGTCTTTTCAGCTGTCGCGTCTCTTCGGTCTCCGTACCGTTCTTAAATGCGTTCACATGGGGACGGTTCAATTTCAAGCAACCGTTTTTCCCCCATTTCTCCCCCTATAAATAAGGGTCATCAGATTTCACTCGACTCTATTTGCCATTTTCTTCTTCCTTCGTGCATTTTCAATTTCCAACAACAAGGCTTCCAGCTTCCAGTGCCCAGATTCCGGCGATTCCCCATCTTTCCAGTCATCAATAAGTCCTTTTCCTTCTCCTTCCGCACTTTCTTTTCCTCCTCTGCCACATTCTGCATTTTATGTCGGATCGTTCCGGCGTTACTTCCACCGTATCCCAAACTCTGGCCCGTCGTAGAGCCCCCAGAATCCTTATTTCCTCTTCGTCTTCGTCCTCATCTTCATCTTCATCTTCTCCTCCTCCTCTCTCTTCTTCCTCTGCCTCTAATCCCAACTTCCTCATTCCTGATCTGTTTGAGCCCATTGACATCATGAGCTCTCCATCTGCCCATTCTCCTTCTGCTTGACTCCTGGAGGAGGCGGCCGAGCTCGATGCCCTCATCGAGCAGCAAGCCACTTCTATCCCCTCCCCCGAGTCTCCACATGACTCCCCTGGGGGAGCCCAGGGGGGAGTTGGGAAGGACAGGGACTCCTCCGAGGGGACCCCTGCTTCCGAGTAGGGGGATAATTCTGAGTTCAACTACGGTCACCCCGACCGGCAGGAGGTCACCCTCTCACCCGAGGCAGTGGCCGAGCTGGCCGGGTCTTTCTCCATCCCTCCGGCCTTCGAGCCACGGGCCGCCGGACCCAACGATCGAGCCTGCCGACCTCCCCCTGGCTTTGTAGCCATTTACAGGGAGCAGCTGCTCGCTGGGCTCCGGCTCCCCATTCCTCCAACCCTGGCGGAGATCCTGAGTTATTGGGGGTTCCGGATCACCCATGTCCACCCCAACTCGATCAGGATCATCATTGAATTCCTAATCTACTGCCAGATCTGTTCCATCCCTTACTCACTTTCCATCTTCCGGGCCTCTTACATCCTTAAGCTCTCCCTCCCTGGGTGGTACTACTTCTCCCGCCGAGGGGCTAGCCAAGTTCGGGGGGGAAAGGGCACCCAGGATCTACTCTATGGGGTCCCCTCTTCCGTAAAAAATTGGAAGGGGGACTTTCTCTTTGTAAAATCCACGAGCTTTCCCCCGAACGTGTGGAAAGTCGGGGAGGTCGACTCCGACCCCTATCCGGAGGACCTGGACCCCGAGACCCTCGGCCAACTGATGAGCTCCAAGGTGAAGCTCTTTGCCGCCAAATTCTCCACCGAGCAGATCTCTGCGGCCGGGCTGATGGGGACGTTGTCCGGGTCCCCTGGAGAGGTGGTGGCCTCCCCTACCAACATCGAAGACTGTAACGCCGACTCTGCCCCTGTAACTCGTTGTATTTACATATATATTATATTTTTTCCTACTGACCTGTTTTGGCTGACCCGGCTATGTTTGCCGCAGTGAGGAAGCTCTCCAGGCTGCTCGGCGCGCCAACCGAGCAGGTCGCCCCCACCACGCAGCCAGAGGCGGCGAAGAAGGCCTCCGAGGCCTCTCCAACTCCTGGGGGCAGCTCGGCCCCCCAAAAGGAGGCCTCCCAGTCCCAATCTCCCTCCAAGCAGGTCGCCAACAAGAAGAAGGCGACAGGGCAGAAGAGGGGTCGGGAGGACGAGCCTTCCCAACCCGGGAAGAAGCCGACGCCAGCTCCAGCACAGCGCCCTCTCCTGTTGACGTCGGGGGGCCCTGTCCACTTGGAGGTTGGCTCCGCGGAGGAGCACGCCCGGGAGAGCGCTCCCCCGAGCTTGTGGCACTTCCGCCACGTGGGCTCCACGAAGCCGGAGCAAGCCCCCACCATGCACGACCCCCGCCACTTCTGCCCTTCCTGGGAGCTCTCCATCAACGACCGAGCCCAGTTCCCCGAAGTGACTCG